CCTTCCAACCTGGAGGCAACAAATGGATCACAGATCCCACTTGGAAGGCTTCACTTAGCACCATGCCCTCTCCACGGATCTCATCAAAGATTAATTACAAATCTTCTACCTGACTTAGCACGGTTTTTGAATCAACCATTTTGAAGTCGAAGAATCTCTTCTCCTTTCACTCCAAGGAGGAAATTCACTATCTCGTTCACCCAGATACAAATAGTGAATCAAGTGCACACAGGCACTTCCCGAGTGTTTTGCACACAGCTACACTCAATCCCGAGTATCTCGCACAAAGCTATACTCCCGAGTATCTCGCACAAAGCTATACTCCTACACCAACTAAGTGTCTTGCACCCAGCTACACTTAGCACCACCGAGCGTCTCGCACACAGCTACACTCAGCAACACTCAGCAACCACGAGTGTCTCGCACAAAGCTACACTCACAGGGTAGTGTCTTGCACAAAGCTACATTCAACCCTCTTTCTACATAAAGTAGAGGTAAGATTTAGAGAAAACAAATTTCTCTTCTAAGGACTTGAAGAATCTCTCGTGAAAGCTCAAAACTGGATATTTCAAATTTTGCTTCTTTGTATTGTCTTGCCTTCTCTTTTTCGTGTATTGCACTCTCTGCTCTGCTCTCTGCTTCATGTCTTCAAGTCTTCTGGTATATATAGCTGAAGAAGCTATATTATCGTTGTAACATCAGTTGATCTAGATCGTTCATCTTGATCAGCTACACATTATTGCCAACTTGCATTGCGGTGATTTAATGCAAGAGATGGGCTTCTTACAGTGAGTTTGAAAATCCTCACCTGACAAATCTTCAAAAAGTCATACATATCGGCTCATTAGTTGAATCTTCTCCGAAAAATAATTTCCTTATCTTGACGGATTCAAAATGATGAAATCTTCCAAAAGATTTGCTGCTGATTCTTACTTGAGTAAAAAAATATATCTTCGATCATTTCTTCTTCTGAAATGATTTGAGATGCATTGAAATCTTCCAAAAGATTTGCTGCTGATTCTTGCTTGAGTAAAAAAATATATCTTCGACCATTTCTTCTTCTGAAATGATTTGAGATGCATAGCAAGAGATTTAAATGAGAAAGAAGATGTGTAGAAGAATTCACGTGCATCTTCCTTATCATGTCCACAAGCTTCCAAACTTGTAGTCAACTTAGCATTCCATGTGTCCACATTGTAGCATGCACCTAACAAGTGTCATCTTTCAAAGATATGCTTCTAATGAGATTCAAACATGAACCCAACAACATATATCTCCCATATTAACTCATTAATATTTCTGGATTTAATCTTTATTCCCAGAATGGCTTTAGTAGCATTTTAGATTAATTCACAAATTAATCCAAGTCTGCCTCTTGGTCGTCCCCTTCTTTATCTGTTACTCAAAAATGTAAAGATTGAGTTTCAAACCTATGACCTCTAACTTCAACAACCTTATTCCTTATCCACTTCACCACTTCATCCTTTAGTGTCTTTTAAGGTAAATAATTCTCAAATAGTAACATTCTGGATAAGTATATTTTGCTAAGAATTTCATAGACTTTATGGCTTGACTTGGGACTTAGGCTAATAGACAACTAGACTCAAAAATAAAATTGGGGGGTTCTAGAAAATACATTTTTGGCTCATCAAAACTATTACACTTTATTCCTAACAAGGTGTAAGTATGAAAATGAGCATATTCATGTCTTGATGATACTACTTGGTTGATTTGGCACACGTAGGCATCATAGGCAACATGTTCACTGAATTGCCCTGTAACAGAATTCCATGTTGGTGTCATGATTTTGACCAATTTGGGAATCATTTCAATTGCAAAGTGGATGTGTTTTTCCTCCAAAGACACTATTGATGTGAAAATGGATTATTGAAACAATTGGGGAGACTTAATATGCACAATTGTAGTTGGTACTTTATCTTTAATTGGTGCTTCAATTTGGGCTGAATCCATGCAAACTATGATGTGTTCTCCCGTAGCATTTGGTGCAACATCTATCTCCTCAGTAAAATTTTTAATTTCGTCTTGATTGGCTTGATTAGTATAGTCCTCACCAATAATTTCCCCAAAACTCATGTCAACCACATAATCACCAATCTCTTTTTCAATTACACTTCCGCATCATTTCTCACTTGAAGAGTAGGAGTTTGATGATCTATTTCCCCACATGTAGCCATTATTAATTCTGCATCAGGAAATTCTATATCCATAATGCAACCCTTCATAAATATTTTGGCCATGGAATGTTTGTTTGGCTATGATTGAATCCACAATGGAATCAAACCATACCAAAGCTTGGAAAGTAAGGCCATCATCTTTTAAAATAGGGAAAATTGTAAAAAATGCCCCTCTATAATATGTCAATTATCAATGTCACCCCTGAATTATGAGTGGTGTAAATTTTGCCCATCAATTATCAAAATGGTGCACATATAGCCCCTCCCGTAACGAACCTGTGGTTCCCCACCGCTGTCCCTCGCTGGTACTTCGAATCGAGGGAGGGAAAAAATAATTAAATTACATATTTACTCCGAATTAATGGTGTCGTACACTAACGGGGAACCACATGTCCATTACGGAAGGGGCTATATGTGCACCGTTTTGATAATTGAGGGGCAACATTTACACCACTCATAATTCAGAGATGACATTGATAATTGGCATATTATAGAGGGGCATTTTTTATAATTTTCCCTTTAAAATATGAATATATTACACGGATCCTTTCGTAGAAAAGATCTCATAGAATACAAAATCATCGATCGGATACCAAATTTGGTGTACAGAAACCAATAAGCACCAGTGAGTAATATTTTCCATAAAAAAAAAAAAAAAAAAAAAAAAAAAAAAAAAAACTCTTTTTCCTTTGCTTTCTGTCATTTTTTTTTTTTACTTTTTTCTTTTCTGTCGTTTTTTTCTTTTTGTTTTCAAATTTTTTTCTCCTTTTTTTTTAAAAAAAAAATTCCAAGGGATGCAACAAAACAAACAAACAAACAAACAAACAAATAAATAAATAAATAAAAGATAGGAGATACTCTCACCAACGGGATCAATGAAAGCACCAATGTTACGTACAAAAATTTAGTACGCAACGGAAGAAACCTTTCGAGCAGGCTTCTAGCTCCAATCCGTATTCGAGTTACGGTAACTCCAAAAGTAAAACAATATAACGAAAGAGAATGAAGAACTCTTCAATATAAAAAACTAGAATAACAATATATTTCTCTGCTTCTTCCATCTTCATATACAATAGTCTATTTATACTAATTTACTAATACCTATAATAATTAACCTACTAAAATTATACTAACTATACAAGGTAATGATATATTGTGATTTACATAATTTCCCTATACTAATCCCACTAATTAAGTTGTATCATCCTAATTATAATACTAATTCTAGAAATATAAATAATTCTTCCTAATTAAGCTCCATAATTACAATTAAGAGCGTATCATATTCCCACTGAGTTTTAGGTAGAATATGCATAATTAGTTCTTCCATATTAATTAACCTTTGTTGTTGGCAATCCTGATAATATATGTTCTTTCATGACTGCAGCTAAACAATATTGCATGTGATGGAAGGGCATGATATGATGCCAAATTGAAGAAAGCTCTTTCTAGGGGATGCAATATCTTATTTTTCTCTGGTATTGTTATGAACTTGCTTTTTGAATTTTTATAGTGTATTTTTTTTTTGAAAAGTATTTATAGTGTATTTAATATGTCCTGAGGTTATCATTTTAGCTTATTTTATATGGTGTAGATTTGTAGGTTGAGAATAATGAGGGATGATATGGAGAGCAATTTATATTGTGCACCAGGGCGCGCATTGTATTGTGCGCCCTGATGCAAAACGACGTCGTTTCAATTTTTATTTTTTATTTTTTTTTTGAAATTTCGCTACCCTGTGTTGGCGGTTAATTTTCTTTTTAAAAAAATCTTATGTTCAAAAATGTACATAATTTTATACTAGAATACACATAATTGTATACATGAATGTACATAATTGTATAACAAAATACAAATACTTATAAAAAAAAAAAAAAAAAAAAAAAATGAAGATAATACACATAATCTAACATAATACATAATACACATAAACTTTTAACATAATACACATAAACTTTCTGTTTCGGATGTACTTAATTGTATAAAAAAAATGTACATAATTGTATAAAGTATAAACAAATACACATAATTGTATACCATAATATACATAATCACGTCAACTACCTACATAACTTACCAAAACGACGTCGTTTTAGGAGGCGTGGGGCGCACAGTGCTGTGTGCGCTGTGGTGCAGGGTATAACGATTGGATATGGAGTTCCTCCTTTCCTATTATTGTTGGATACTTGCATCACAAAAATGGAGAGTGAAAGAATATGATGTCCCTCTATGGTAGAGATTCTTGATAATATTTTGGAATTTTTGCCAAGAAGATGCTAGAACTATTGTATTGTCCATTAGATGGAGATATTTGGTCCAGTCCTACACGACTCAAGTACATGTGGTCATTTGATGGGTTTTATGTAATCAATAAAATTGTCATGTAGCACAATGGACCTAGAAATTTGAATTTCTTGACGCACGTTCGGATATGGAGGATAGTAGTCCATTGTATGACGCTGAAAACTTGTAACATTATGTTGCACCTTACACCGGAGAGATTGCATCTTTATTATATGTTGATCTATATCTATTAATCATTACATCATTACATATTTTCAAATGTAATTTCATTGTATTGATTTTGATCCTACAAGTATATTAAAATTTTTGATTGATGATATTATGCTTGAGAACCTCTCATTTATATGAAAATTCTTTAATGACTAGTAAATAGTAATTGGCCTATCTATGGCAGGAATTTTTCTGACTATCAAATGCCTTAACATTTTTAGATGAACAAATATACGCGAGCACACAAAAAAACAAAAAAAAATAAAAAATAAAAAATAAAAAAAGCCAGCATAATTGAAGTAATTTATTAACAAAAGCAAATATATGAACATTCTTAATTGCCCACATTGCTTGCTGATTACAAAAACCTCATGCTAAACTTAGAAAACATTTCAACTTCCAACACAACCTTTGCTTACATTTCTAAGCTACATGCACCCAAATAGAACCCATGGAGATTAAAAATACTAAGGTTCTAAAAGGATAAAACCATGGGTATCCAACCAGTCATCACGCATAGACGCATAGTAATTGCCAGTGCAGACAATTTGTGCATTTGGAGATGCACGAGGGAAGCATTCCAACTTCCTTTGGAAGTTTCTCACCTCGGAGGCATTCATATGCCAAGATTGCACAATAACAACTCTCTCTAGCGCAGGGGATTTTGAGAGCAGCATTTTCATAAAAAGCATTTCGAGTGCGAATTCACTGAATGATTCAATCTTGATTGTGTTAAGCATCTTCAGCTCCTGAATAACAAAGCCACTGTCTGGATCCTCCAAAAGCCTTGAAGTAGCTTCTTGGTCATCCTTCCCACGGAACTATAACTCAAGAAAAACTGAAAATCAAGCACAACTGTGAGACATTTGAAAGAGCAAAACAAGAAGAATCATACATGATTGCCAAATATATACTCCTACCTCATCGGCCATAATCCGCAGTTCACATAGGTTAGGACATTTTTTAAGCAATTGCATAGCAACGGCGAGTTGCTCCCGACAACCAAAATTTAATTTATATAGCTTCATTACTTGCAGATTTATTGCAGTTGGAAACACAGATACATCCATACGCTTGAAAAATAGGAACAAAGAAACAAAATTAGCCACACGAACTTTAACAAGCCAGAAGGTAAAAAATTATATCTATCCATGCATTTACATGAAGTAAAACGACTAAACGAGGCAGATCCTCACCTCCAACGAAGAGCCACACAACCAAAGAGTCTTAATGGCTTTCAAATGTGGCGTCAACTATCTCAACTCAACCACATCATCATACATATAACTAACAACAGACAACAATTCAAGCTTTGGAGGACTGATCTCAAACTTGTGGATCCCTTGACAACATCCGAAAGCCAGTTTCTCAAGTTTAGGAATACTAATACTAGAGGCAATTCCACTCACACTACACTTAAATTCAACATTGTAGAAAGCTAATGAAGTGACATTGGAAAATATACCACAAGCATTTACAGGCAAATGAATAGAGGGACCTCGGACTTTCAGTTCCTTAGTTGTCCTACAAGAGAGTAAACAAAATGGCAGCTTATATTCCTGCACATCAGTATCTAAACATATGTTAAGTTCCTCCACACCATTTCTTGACAGAAAAAGACACCACCTATCAAAATCAGACTGCTGCGGCGTAGGATCATCACATGAAATCTGTAGAGTAAATTTCTTAACCGGCCCATCACGGAAAAAGAGGATATTATTGATTACGTTCACGAGAGTTCTACCTTCATCATCATAGCACTCTTCGACACATTGCAAGAATTCCCAATCGAACGTGAGTCGCCCATGCTGCAACCAAACATCATTCCAGTGCTTTGAGAGCATAGCAGTTCTGGCAGCCTCTGGGGTGCGCAAACACCCTAAAATACTGTTCTTTACCTCTAAGGGCAGCTCACTTATTAAATCCCTACTTGTGTCCGGTACGGTTTTGAGTCGCCGAGCCATTAAATTGAAAGAACAATTAGGCATCTGTCGAAATGGAAACCTGTAATCGTTCTATTCTTCAAAACGCAAGATTGCATATTTCGTAAATAGAAAGGGAATTAGGAAGCTAAGAGTTGGGAAAAAAACAGAGATTGGGGAAAAGTGAAAGAACCCCTCACCTCTGATGTTTGGTCTGGGCCTTTGCGGGTTAGGAAAGCCGAAGGGAAACGAATCAGAGTAGCAGATGCCAGACGGAGAAGACTAAGGCCGGCCGCCGGTGGAGCTGAGTGGAGAGTGGAGAATCGCGGTGGAGAGACAGAGAGACAGATGAGTCGCAGGGCTGAAGGGCGAAGGTCGAGTATAGAACTAGAGTCTAGGGATTTCATTTTAGTTTTAGAAATTTTAACTTATATCTTTTTGCATCTAGATTTTACCTTATATATTTACATATTTATTTATGAATTAATTTCACTTTTGGTCCCACGACTTTTGATGTTCTATCACTTTTGGTGCACAACTTTAAAATTTTTTAATTTTGGTGCCTAACTTTGTTATTTTTATCAGTTTTGGTCCTTTCGGCCAAATTGACAGCGAAATGTTGTTGGATTTTATATTTTTAGGGGTAAAATTGTCATCCTAAGGAAGCATCTTCAATATCTAAACAAAATCACTTAAAATCATATCTATAGGTGTTTGATCGATGAGAATAATGGGGAAGACGGGCAGAAACCAGAAAGATCTATGGGATTTATAATTTCGACAATTGCCAAACTCTTTTTTTCCTTTTAATATGATTTTTCTTTTGTTTAAATATTGAAGATCTTTAAATTGGATGACGATTTTGTCCCTAAAATATAAAATCCGGAAATATTTTACCATCAATTTGGTTGGAAGGACCAAAACTGATAAAAATAACAAAATTAGGCACCAAAAGTGAAAAAATTTAAAGTTGTGCACCAAAAATGATAAGAACTCAAAAGTCGTGGGACCAAAAGTGAAATTAATTCTTTATTTATTTATATTATCTGTGATCCTCCGAGTATGCTGATTTTGCTACTTATAGTCCTAAACTTTAAAACTGATCATTTGTGGTCTTCCCTTCGAGTTTCAAAATGTTACCAACAGTGGTCTAGCCATTAAATTAATTTGCTCAATTTGCACCATGTAAATGAAGGGCAAAAATGTCATTTCATGTTATTCTTTCATTTTAAGTGAAAATCTAGCCTTTGGATTAGCAAATGCATCTTCTTTCTTTCCGGTTCTTCTCTAAGTTTCAAAAGATTACTAATCGTGGTTTTGTATAATGTTGTCAACCAGACAGTAACTATGATTTTGATTCTCATTTCTAGTGTGTAAATCAATGAATCAAACACACCCTAAATACATAAATTCACTATCGTAAGTATATAATTTATTATTGTCGTGTCATTTGTAAAGTTGTTTTGAAAATTGTTAAACTTTATTACCCTACAATTGACAAATGAGTTTGGAACATGCTTAGGTAGTTCTAAATGAAATAATAAGAAACAACAGCATATGTAAAATCTTGTACAATTAACATTAGCAAAAAGAAGAACATTCTTGGGAGTCTATACAAGGTGCATCCTTTACATCCAAACTGAACCTATGAAGCTTCATCATACTAAATCCCGACAAGATTAAAAGCATATGTAATCAAATAATTCGAGCACGGAGTCATCATCTTCCATGCATACAATTTGTGCTTTTAGAGATGTACGAGAAAAACATAACAATTCCTTTAGGCAATTCAGCAATTGACATATTCGGGGGTATCTATATCAGTAATAACATATTCCATAATGACAAGTCTCTGTAGTATAGAAGATTTTGAGAGATGATTGTGTTAAATGTCTTCAAATCTTACTTATTAATGTAATTGTTTAGATCCTCCAAAAATCTTGTACCCCGTTATTATATCACAAGAACATAGCTACACCAAACTATGAGGAAATTAACAAAGAATTGAAAAGAAAACAATCATATATGATTGCCAAATATATAGTCCATAGGTTTCATGTCTTACACCATCGATGCCGCAATATTCAACTTGCATAGGTTGGGGGAGTTTTGAAGCAACTGCAAAACAAAGGCAAGTTCCTCTCTACATGAAACACTTAACTCATACATCTTAATCACTTGCCGATTACGGAACCCCTATACTATGATGTTTGGTTTAGGACTTTGCCAATTACGGTAACCGAAGGGGACTGAAATGTTATTCATCTTTTTAGGTTTAAATGATGATTGCTTATCAATTTTCATCTTGGTTTAAACCTGTGCAATCATTATTGTGTGCAATGGAATGTAGTCCACACAGCTTTGTGGATAGGGCCACAGTTCAAAATGATATCGTCTCTCATTTAAGAAGATATGACGCCATTAAGTTAGAGACGTGGGTCGCAATTTTTTTTTTTTTAATTTTCACGCAACCTACTTTTTTCCTCTCCATTGCTTCTTCCTTTAACTCCAATGCTGCAACATACATTTTTATAACTCATAAAGTACATTATTCTAACTCATAAATGCCGCATCATCTAACCCCAGGAGGTTCATTATTCTAACACATAACGACTGAATAAACGTCGTTATTGACTAACATAATTTTTTAATTGTAAAAACGATGTCGTTTTGGACTGTGGTCTACACAGCTATGTGGGCTGTGTAATTTGCCAAACCTATAGGCGGAATGGACTCCAGGTCTAAAGCCAATTGAGGCCCAAAACTTAATTAGGTCAGGAGAATAATTGAAATTCATAAGCAAGATTTTTGGACCTCAATTAGGGGTGTACACAATTTAGTGAAAAAAAAGGACTAATCGATGAAACTGGAAATTTTTAATTAGTCATTTTTTAATCGAAATATTTTGATTCGATTAATGGAATTTTTAAAAATTTTAGTTAATGATTAATTAGATTTGAAAGTACAATTAACCATACGGTTAGACTAGTTTAAATCATACTGTTATAAACTTATAATTCATAAATCATATTGTTAGACTAGTCTTCTTTTCTTTCTTTCTTTCTTTTTTTTTTTTTTTAATTTTCATCATTTATATATACTAAATAATGACTATTTTATTGTGTGAAAGTATAAGTTGAAATTTTTTTATTTATAAATGGCTCATATTGATATTTATTTATTTATTTCAAATAAATCAACCAGTACATAAAATCATTACTTTAAATAAATTTGCTACAAATGCATAAATTCATTTCTATAAATACATAGATTTACTAATATAAATAAACAAATCCAATTCACTATTGTTAGTGTCGTTTTTAAAGTTGTTTTGGAATATATTAAACAAGTTTGGTTATTAGGACTACTTTTAGGACTCTATGTAGTCCTAATACTAGTCCTAATATTGATATCCTACACACTACAAATGAGTTTGAAACATGCTTGGAGTAGTTCTGAATGAAGTTATAAGAAAGACCTGCATCGGTAAAATCTAGTATACTTAACAGAAGTAAAAAGATCAGAAGAACATCATATTCTTGGAATCTACTGCTTATAGATTCAAAATACTTTAAGTACAACATAATACTTTAATTACAACATAATACTTAGGTACAAGGTTTCAACTTCCACCACAACCATTGATTACATTTCTAGGTTGCATCCAAACTTAACCCATGGAGCCTCATCATACTAAATTCCTACAAGGTTAAAACCACATATAATCAAATAGTTCGAACACGGAGTCGTCAATTCCACTGCAAACAAATAGTTCACATGACTGCTGCACATCGCATACTTCGTTACATTAAAGGTTCTCTCGGTCAGGGTATTTTTTATCCAGCTGCAACCACACACCTTCTCAAAGCCTTCTCAGATTCAGATTGGGCTTCATGTCCGGACACCCGCAAATCTTTCACAGGCTACTGTATATTCCTTGGTTCATCCCTCATCTCTTGGAGGTCAAAGAAGCAATCAACAGTGTCGAAATCTTCGTCAGAGGCAGAATACCGGGCCCTTGCAACCACTGTTTGTGAACTCCAGTGGCTCATCTCCTTGCTTCGTGAATTGAATGTTGTTGTAAAAGATCCTGCCATCATTTACTGTGATAACAAGTCGGCCAATGCAATTGCTGAGAACAATGGTTTTCATGAAAGAACGAAGCATATTGAAATAGACTGCCATGTTGTGCGAGAAAAAATCACTCAAGTTTTGGTCAAAGCTCCTATCTGTCACCTCTCTCAATCAAGTTGCCGATGGCTTCACCAAACCTCTCTCAACCTCTCGATTTGAACTGTTTGTATCTAAGCTGGGTGTTCAAAACTTACACACGCCAACTTACGGGGGGTATTAGAGGAAGCAATGAAATAATAAAGAGGATATATATGTACTTTCACTCACAACTACAACGTCTGTATTTAAGTGGTGGTTTTCTTCATTCAATACACTTTTACCTTTATTGTTTCTTTCTTCCAAGTAAAACAAGCAATGCAGTTCTTCCCATTTTCTTCACGCTTGTCCTTCTCGATACAAACAATTTTTGCTTTCAGAGATGAACAAGGGAAGCACAAGAACTCCCTTAGGATCTTGATCACCATGTAGCCATCTTTTATATAACAAGATTCCGTAATAACAACTCTCTCTAGTATAGAGGATTTTGAGAGTAGCATTTTGCAAAACATTTCAATTGTAAATTCACAAAACAATTTAATCTTGATTGTTTTAAACATTTTTAGATCCTGATTAATAATGTAATTATCTGGATCCTTCAAAAGTTTTGAAGGAGCTTCTATATATGTCATCATCTGAACAGGTCTACAACTCAACAACAAATAAAATAAAAAACATGTACAACCATGAGGGAATTAAGAAAAAAAAAATCATTATATATACACACACACACACTCTATATAGGTTCCGGTCTATCTTACAATAATTGCTGTTATAATGTCAAGTTCACATATATTGCTAGGTTGGGAGATTTTTGAAGCAATTAACTTCAAAACACCCAAAAGCTGCTTTTCATTGGCAAACTTTAAAGAATGTAGTTTGATTACTTGCAGATTTATTGCACTTGGAAATGAGGCTACTTCAACATCTTATTAAAAAAAAAAATTTTAAAAATTATATGAGGCTTGAAAAAAAGCTCTAATAAACCAGAAGGAAAAGAATATTTATTTAATTCGTGAATACTAGTACGTACTAACTATATGAACGAAGAGAGATTCTCACCAACAACAAGCTAAGCTGTCATGATCCAAGCAAATTAAAGAACCTTGATTGCTTCCAAATGAAGTGCAAGCCATCTTGATTCAACGTAACCGCAAATATATAACCCCTAATATAATAGACAAGCTTTCAAGTTTTGGAGCGCTGATCTTAAAATTACTGATCCCTATGGAAATACAGCTTCTCAAGGTTAGGAATACTATATACAGTTCCCTTAACATTATATTATGATTAAAAACAACTTGATTTTGAGAAAGCTAATGAAGTTAAAAAAAAAAAAAAAAAAAAAAAAAATCATAATTGAAGTCATTTATTAACAAAAGCAAATGGAGGAACATTCTTGTCCACAATGCTTGCTGATTACAAATACCTCGATCATGCTGAACAACTTAGAAAACATTTCTAACTTCCAACACAACCATTACTTACATTTTTAACTTGCACCAAAATTGAACCAATGGAGATTCACCAAGTTTGTGAAAGGCAAAACTAATGTTACCGGCCAGTCCATACGCATAGAATCATTGTCATTGTCCATGCAGACAATATGTGAGTTTGAAGATGCACGAGGGAAGCATTCCAACATCCATTGGATTTCTCTCACCACGGGGCATTCATACCCCAAAACTTCACAATAAATCTCTCTAGCCCAGGAGATTTTGAGAGAAACATTATTATAAAAATCAGTTTGAGTGTGAATTCACGGTATGATTCAATCTTGATTGTGTTAAGCATCTTCAGCTGTCCTGAATAACAAAGCAACTCTCTGGATCCTCCAAAAGTCTTGAAACAGCTTCTTTTTCATCCTCTTAAATCATAAAGTATTTTAATTATGGAGGTATAGATCGATTTTGTCTTGCTGTGAGAAAGCATTTAGGAAAATGTATGCTAGTTGAGGCTTGAATTGTGATATATCTCCTCTACAATCTCCAGGGTAAGAGTGGTGCTGAACTCTTAAGTTTGGAGTTCAAACTCATAGAAGTTGTTGAAATGCTTTTGGAGAATTCAAAGAGTTGCATCATTAATCGGGATTAAAAAATGCATAGCTCAATCAAGATTGAATCATTTAATGTAACCTCACTCAAAAAATACCTTTTCTGAAATTTCTGCTCTCAAAAGTCTCATGCTTCAAAGAAAGTTGTTATTAAAGAATCTTATAATATCATAGCCTTATATTATATATATGCATTATACTCTTACTCATCTTCTTCAAGTCTCTAGTCAGCAGCAGTGACGGAGCTACGTGATGGGGTAGGCCAGGGGGCCCTGGCCCCCCATCCCCACCCCTACCCTCACCCTAAATTTTTTAGCAAATATGTATGTATATATTGATATAGTACGTAGAGATAAAATATATTTTTGATCCCCTTCTATTTTTTTAAAAATAAAACAATCTATTATGTTTATATTAAATGAACTCAAAATATATATTAAGGTTCACTATTTTTCATTAAATAAAAAAATTAAATCATATAATTAAAATTAAAATTTTTCTTTATTATCTTATTTCTTTTATCAAGATTTTAATAATGAAGAGAATCAAGTATACATTTTAATTGCTTTCAAAAAAAGTATACATTTTAATTTTAAAAAATCTCCAAATCAGAGATATATGCTTTGATTTTATTAGTTATGTTGATTAATTAATTAGTGATTTATTGTGTGTTTTAATTATTTATTTACATTTTTAAGATGTACATTTGCTAGTTTAAAACTTTAAATGATTAGTTTTGAAATTGACAAAAATTAATATTGAATGTTTAATTGGTCTTGGTTTTTGTCTTTTATCTCTCAAATTTTGAAATATTCAGTTAATCAGTGAAATGAATATCAGTTAATTATGAAAAAATTTGGTGACAAAATAATTGACAAAACTTTTTATTTGATGTTAAGAGAATATATATTTAATAAATGTTGTTGCTATTGTTATTATTATATTTTGTGTTATGTGAACAATTTATAAAGTAATGATCGGCACATGTGTCGATCGTACTCATATAATTATGTATTTCATACTTTATTACACATAGTATAATTAGAAATTATTATCAATAATAATCACAATAATGTATGGTATATATAATAATATGGTACGATTAATTATAATGTCGGCTAACATTGTAAATTTTCTCTACTACATCGGTCCCCCAACTCAAGTTTTCTGGCTCCGTCCCTGGTCAGCAGTCATGCATCATTACTATATGAGGTTGCTTTTCAGATTTGGAAGCGCCATTAAACCTACTCCATGTGCTCTTATTGTATAGTTGGATGAAGTTCACTTTTAATAAATAAATAAAAAATTCTTTATTTTTACTTCGTTTCCTAGAAATTATTATTATATCTTAATTTTACAATGGTGTTTAATGTATTGACTATGTGATATATTCTTTGTATCATTTTATGTATCATGTTTATTATGCCGGAAATAAACAACATCGCTGCCTCCCAAGGCCAACATCGTAGCTACCACCGCCAACCTCATATCGGAAAACACCATCGATGCCGAGCCCGGGTCGGTGAAGCTCTCCAGAAACACATTCTCCATTGTTCATCTGCAACCATACAAAGTTAGAAAGCAAATGTGTGTGTTTTTTTATGTCAAATGCATTTCGAAAATTGGTTTGGGTTTTTTATTAACAAAAAAAAAAAAATCCAAAAGCAAAGATGCATTTGGGAAATGTGTTTGACTAAAATTTGTCCAAAAATATTTTTTTTTCATTTTTTTCCATCACTTTCATATTTTTCCATTATGATCAATTTCCCTAATGTTATGTGGAAACATCTTATGTTTTTCTTGTGCCTCTACAAAAGCAAAAATTGTTTACATCTATCCTAATGAATATCCTTCAAAAGAAAGGCATTTTCAATCTATGGACTACACAATAAATGGCCTCTGTTTTGCTTGTTAAATATGGCAAACAATCTATGGACTACACAATACTTTGAACTCAATGCTGTGAACTTATTCGCAACTCTCCGAGCCCGAGTCGGCGAAGCTCTCCGAAAACACATTCTCCTTCGGTTCATCTGATCTGCAAGCACAGAAGGTTAGGAACGCAAATATGTTTTTTTTTTTTAATATGTCAAACGCTTTTCAATTTGGCAAAATAATACAAACTCATTTTATAAATGCGTGGGTATTTCGTCAAAATACCCCAAAGGCTAAAATGCTTTTGGTTAAAAATCCAAAAGCAAAAATGCATTTGAGAACTATGTTTAAGGTCCAGTCAAAATTTTCCACAATGCTTGCTGATTAACAAAAGCAAATAGAGGAACATTCTTAATTGCCCCCAATGCTTAATGATTACAAATACTCCGATCATGCTGAACAACTTAGAAAACATTTCAACTTCCAACACTACCATTGCTTACATTTCTAAAGATTGAACCCATGGAGATTCACCAAGTTTTTGAAAGGCTAAACCAATTTTACCAGTACTCCATACCCATAGAATCACTGTCATTGTCCGTGAAGACAATATGTGCGTTTGAAGATGCACGAGGAAAGCATTTCAACTTCCTTTGGATTTTTCTCACTTCGGGGGCATTCATACCCCAAAACTTCACAATAAATCTCTCTAGCGCAGGAGATTTTGAGAGCAACATTATTATAAAGAGCATTTGGAGTGCGGAACAATTTGATTTAATCTTGATTGTGTTAAGCATCTTCAGCTCATGAATACCAAAGCAACTATCTGGATCCTCCAAAAGCCTTGAAGCATCTTCTTTGTCATCCTCCGAACCGAACTATAACTCAAGATGAAATGAAAGACAAGCACAACAGTGAGGACATTTGAAAAAGCAAAACAAGAAGAATCAGACATGATTGCCAAATATATACTCTACCTCGTCCGTCGAAATACGTAGTTCACATAGGTTAGGACATTTTTTAAGAAATTGCATCGCAACGGCAAGCTGCTTCCGACAACAAAAATTTAATCCATATAGCATCATCACTTGCAGATTTATTGCAGTTGGAAACATAGATGTATTCATACACTTGAAAAATAGCAACAAAGAAACAAAATTAACAACCACAAGAACTTTAACTAAGCCAAAAGGTAAAGAATTGTATCTATCCATCCATTTGCATAAAGTAACTGGGCAGATCCTCACCTCCAATGAAGAGTCACACAACCAAAGAGTCTTAATGGCTTTCAAATGCGGTGCCAACCATCTCGAGTCAACCACATCATCCATAGAATGAATAACATACAAGATTTCAAGCTTTGGACTGCTAATCTCAAACTTATTGACCCCGCTACAAAGTTTGAAAGCCAGCTTCTCAAGCTTAGGAATACTAATACTAGAGGCAATTCTATTAACACCGCGCTTAAATTCAACATGCAAGAACTCTAATGAAGTGACATTGGAAAATATATCACAAGCATTTACAGGCAAATCAATAAAGGAGCCACGGACTATCAGTTGCTTAATTGTCCTGCAAGAGAGTAAACAAAATGGTAGATGATATTGTGGCCCTGGATAATTATATAAAAATATGTTAAGTTCCTCCACACCATTTCTTGACAGAAAATGACACCACTTATCAAAATCAGTTTGCTGCGGCCAAGGATCATATGCAGTGTCTATCTCTAGAGTAAATTTCTTAACAGGCCAAGCACGGAGAAACAGGATATTATTGATTATGTTCACGAGGGTTATATCTTCTTCATCATCATAGCACTGTTCAGCACTACGCAAGAAGTCCGAATCGAACACAAGCTGCCCATGCTGCAACCAAGCATCATTCCAGTGCCTTGAGAGCAGAGCCATTCTGGCGGCATCTCGGGTGGGCAAGCACTCCAAAATTCTGTCTTTTACCTCTATCGGCAGCTCACTTATTAAATCCCTACTTGCATCCTCCAGTATGGTTTTGAGTCGCTGACGTCGAGCCATTAAATTACAGAGATTGAGGGAAAAGTGACAGAAACCACTATGATGTTTGGTTTGGGCCTTTGCGGGTTAGCCGTGGAGCAGAGTAGCAGACGCCACACGGAGAAGACTCTGGGAGTGGAGACTGGAGATAGAGACACGGCTGATTGTGGAACTAGGGTGGAGGCATTTCAATATGGTATTTTTCGGCATAGCAAAAATGACGCCCGTTTTGAATGATTTTTTTTTTTTAAAGGTAATTTCTGAGTTTTATTTATGTTAAGTGATTAATTGAGATTTTATTCCTCAAATCTTAATATACCAATATGGCAATATGGTATACACCTAAACTAATCTTATACAATACCAAGACTATGTGGTCTAATGGTACCCGGGTTGGACTTTCATTTGGAAGGTTATGAGTTTGAGTCTTAGTGGAGACGTTATTGGTTTTTTGTGTTTCAGTAGGCTGAGAAAGTATATGAACAGATACTACAATGTAATAGGGCCAGTAACATTCAAAAAAAAAAAAATCTTATACAATATTATTCACAAACTTTATTTCAAGAATTCTCTTTGTAAGTCAATGAGGAAGATAACAAATAGCTAACAAAGGTAAGTGTGAACATTTTTTAACCTTTCTTCCTTTTGATAAACTCTATTTTAGACAACAAGGTTATTTTCATTTTTTCAATTTTTTATTACTTTCTCCATGAATTAATTCGAACAAAAATTCCTTATCAATCATAGTCAACATTCAACAACTTATAGTCTTACACTATCAAATATATAATTGGAAAAATGTATTTTTCGTCCAACAATTGAAAATGCTTAACACAATAATCAAGATTGAATCATTTGGTGGGATTCACACTCTGAAATGTTTTTTTGTGAAAATGCAAAAAGTTTAGAATTTTGCATATTTGGAGTGAATGATAGGGTTTATACAATTTGAATGCTAACTTGCTACTCATTTATTTTGAATTCATGTTTTAGAAATTTAGTGTTTAAGCAATATAATTTGAATATGAATTTTGAATTATTGTTTTTATTTCTACTTTAGAGTTAATTTCACCAGAGGTCATTTGTCTTTGATGGGCAATTCCAAATTTAGTCTCAAATTGTCATTTTTGTCATTTAATATCCCAAACTATTATTTTTTGAACACTTTTAGTCCTTCCCATGACTTTTTCTATTTTTAGTAACGGCATTTTTAACTTTTCATATTTTTCTTTTGTTATTTTTTTAGTTTCAACTTGGTTTAATTGGTTTAGGACTTTAGGTAACCTGTGATTTTTAGTAACCATAATTTTCAACCGATTTTAGTAAAGTCCTAAACCAATTAAATCGGTTGAGACCAAAAAAATATAACAAAAGAAAAATATGAAGAGACAAAAATGTCCTTACTAAAAAAATGAAAAGTCATTAGAATGACTAAAAGTGTCCAAAAAATAATAGTTTGAGATGTTAAATGGAAATGACGATAGTATGGGACTAAATTTGGAATTGCCACCAAAGACAAAGGACCTATGGTGAAATTAACTCTTCTACTTTACTTTCAATTTGAATGTCCACCCGCTTAAGAATATGTTTTAAATTCTATTCTATACTTTCTCAAACATTTTAGGTAACCGGGATGCCATCACACTACATGGTAGTTGGCGTTTTAGTTTTAATTTATTTGCTCTTTAATTCGCATATGTTAAAGTTATCTAAATTATGTTAGAGAGAGAGAGAGAGAAAATCAGTGAACTTCGGGTACAGATTCTTGACACTATTTCTTCTTTGGCTACACTTACGATTATGACTATAATGGTTATGTGTGGCCATTTTCTGGGATTTATGTAATCAACAAAATTGTCATGTAGCACAATGGACCTATTTGGAAATTTGAGTTTCTTGATGATGATGAGGAATGTCCAGTTATGGAGGATAGTAGTCCATTGTATGACACTGATAACTTGTAACGTTTAGTCATGCAAAAAAAAAAAAAAAAAAAAAACTAATGAAATGCGACTTTATTTTTAATCTGTAGAGTAAATTTCTTAATCGATCCCGCGCGAAAAAAGAGGATATTATTGATTATGTTCACGAGGGTTCTACCTACATCATCTTGGCACCGTTGGACACTTTGCAAGAATTCGGAATCGAACGTAAGCCGCCCATGCTGCAACCAAACATGATTTCAGTGCCTTGAGAGCAGAGCAATTCTGGCGACTTCTTGGGTGGGCAAACACTCCAAAATTCTATCCATTACTTCTATCGGCAGCTCACTTATTAAATCCCTACTTGCATCCGCTACAGTTTTGAGTCGCCGACAACTTCGAGCCATTAAATTGAAAGAACAATGAGGCTCCAGTCGAATCAAATTTAATCTTAGATTATTATTTTTGTCATTTAACACTCTAAATTTTTATATTTTAGACACTTTTAGTTCTTTCGATCATTTCTCCGGTAAAATCCTATTTTAGACAAAGGTTATTTTCATCTTTTCAATTTTTTTTTTCACATGAGTTAATTCCAACGAAAGTCTCTTATCAATCATAGTCAACATTCAACAACTTACACTATCAAATATATAATTGGAAAAATGTATTTTTTGTCCATCAATTCTTCATTATTATTAGTTATTTTAGTTCTTAACTTTTACAATTGCAATATACTAATCTAACTATTCAAAAAAGTTACTCCACTTTTAACTCCTAGAAGAATAAAATTATTAAACTCTATTCAAATTTTACTTAGTACATGGGTATTTTATAATTTTATTATCTTTATTGTTATGACTTTTCAATTTTAGTGTTTCATTTGAAAAATAGATCAATTAATACCTTCTTCCTTAAATATGTCATCTTCAAGTGTGGTACATTGTCCATATTTTCCCTACACAAACATTTTAAAATCAAATTTTTTTATTTTACAAATGAAATATCAATACTGTAGAATATTATAATTAAAAAAAATATTAAAAAATGCTAAAATACTATGTAATAAATAAAATTTTAATAAAGTTTAATAGTTTTTATTGCTTTATGGGTTAAAACTACAATTTTTTTTAAAGAGTTATGAAAATATATGCTGAAAATTGAAAAGAATGGCATATTCTTTATCAAGGAAAAAAAAAAATCAAATACTGAAACGCCAACCTCTAGTAAAACTCTACTGGTGAATTTCAATAAGTCTTTTTGTGTGTGTGTGTGTGTTTGGGTAGGTTTGCATAATGATTTTATGGTTTTTCAAAAGCTGTTCGATCTTCTAAAGACAATATTACTCAAATTGAGCAATTAACCTGAATGAATTTCATTTCATAATTGAAATCATGGGAAAACAATATGTTTCCTTCTGTAAGTCTTGTGAATGTGTTCTTATATGTCTTGATTAGGAGTTATTGTAGGTTAATTGAATTTTCACTAATGTTGTGTAGTCTAAGTTAAAATAATTAAGAAATTATGTGAAGTGATTATGCCTTTTAATCTCTTTCTTCTTCTGCTGTTTTGCAGCAGTTACAATCAACAAGAGGCTAGGAACTGTATTCCCTTTACTTTGAAGATGTGAAATGATTATACTTTTTTATTTGATGATGGTTAGTTGGCTCTATTCTCATGCTTTTCTATTGGCAGTCTATTGAGAGGCAATTTGTTTTCCTTATGAATTATAGAGTTTTTTGTGAGGTAATTAACTCTGGCACCATTTGCCTATGTTCAACTGCAAATTAAAGGCCATAGTATGCATATTTTTCTTACATTCCTTCTACTTTGCTATTGAAAGTCCATTCCCTCCAATTAGTCAATAAAGCAGCCAAAATTATGAATTAAAGGTGAGGGGGTGGAGTCACCATCTTTCTATTTAAAATAATACAGATTATGAAATGTTTTTGTTAATTTCTTTTTTAATAATAGAGTTGTAAACTGCATTTTGTAATGTAGGTAGTGATCATTGAAATTGTGACGTGGATCTTGAATGCAAGAAAACAACTAAAGTTCTACTTGGTTTTTAGGTTTGAAATTAACGCACCATTTTAATAAGTCATTTTAGAATGAACAACATAAATTAAAAGGTAAGAAATAACAATTCATCTCCTACGTCTGCGGGGCAACTCACGTCTGCCCAATCCATTAGATGTTTTACCAAGATTTTACAGGGGTATGTACACAAGACAATAAGCCACTACAACCAACTACAACCTTCGTTACTTTAAATAAATTTACTACAAATGCATAAACTCATTTCTATAAATACATAGACTTACTAATATAAATACACAAATTCAATTCACTATTGTTAGTGTCATTTTTAAAGTTGTTTTGGAATATATTAAACAAGTTTGGTATCCTACACACTGACAAATGAGTTTGAAACATGCTGGGAGTAGTTCTGAATGAAGTCATAAGAAAGACCTGCATAGGTAAAATCTAGTACAATTAACAAAAGTAAAAAGATCAGAAGAACATCATATTCTTGGAGTCTACTGCTTATAGATTCAAAATACTTTAATTACAACATAATACTTAGGTACAAGGTTTCAACTTCCACCACAACCATTTGATTACATTTCTAGGTTGCATCCAAACTTAACCCATGGAGCCTCATCATACTAAATTCCTACAAGGTTAAAACCACATATAATCAAATAGTTCAAACACGGAGTCGTCATTTTCAGTGCAAACAAGTTGTGCTTTCGGAGATGCGCGAGGAAAACACAACAATTCCTTTCGCCAGCTATTGACATCTTCGGAGGTATCTTCTATATCAGTATCAACATATTCCATAATAGCAACTCTCTCTAGTGTAGGAGATTTTGTGAGCAGCATTTTCACAAAAAGCATTTCAAGTGTAAATCCACTAAACCCGACAATTATGATTGTGTTAAGAATCTTCAGATCTTGCTTAATAATGCAGCAGTTTTGTTCCTCCAAAAGACTTGTGCCCGTTGTTAGATCACAAGAACATAGCTACAACACAACCATAACCATGAGGAAATTAATAAGTAAAAGAAATTAAAATAACTGCAAAATATATAGTCCCTAGGTTTCAAGTGCAAAAGTCCCTAGTTTTCAAGTGTCTTACACAATTCAATGCCATAATCTTCAACTGGCATAGGTTGGGGGAATTTTGAAGCAACTGCAAAACAAAGGCAAACTGCGCTGCACATGAAACACTTAAATCATACAACTCAATCACTTGCAAATTTATTGCGGTAGGGAATGTCACATTCGCTATTTCTGCATCTTTACACTTGAAAAAGAAAAAAGATTATATGAGCATTGAAAGAAATGTTTCAATCCTAATAATCAATCCATTTGCATAAAGAGAATGCAAAAGACAAGTAGAGATTCTCACCAGCAAAAAACGGGCACCCAAGATAAGGGTCTTAATTGTTTTCAAACAACGCATGAACCATCTAGATTCATCAAGCTTCATCCAAAACAGAGAGCCAATAACAATATATCTATCAAGTTTTGCACTACTGATCTCAAAATTAGTAATCCCTTTACAACCACAGAAAATCAGCTCCTCAAGATTAGGAACACTGTAGACAATTTCCTTAGCATTATCACTAAATTCAACATTCTCCAAAAATAATGAAGTTACGCTGGGAAATATACAACTAGGGACAGGCAAATCAAAAATGAAACCACCCATAGTCAGTTGCTTAATTGTGCCGCACAAGAATATACAAGATGGAAGCTTATGGTTACGCGAAATATACAAGTTAAGTTCCTGTACACCATTTCTCGAAAGAAAACGACACCACCGATCTAAATCACACTGCTGGGGCTGAGGATCCGATGTGCGGTGAACTTGTAGAGTAAATTTTTCAATGGGTCCAGCACGAAGCATGAGAATATCATTTATTGTGTTAATCAGAGCCATACCTTTCTCACATTCGTACTTTGAGAGGCATTTCAAGAAGTCCTTATCAAATACAAGCTGCCCATGCCGCAACCAAACCTCATTCCATTGAGTAGAGAGCAGAGCAGTTCTGGCTGCGTCTCGAGTAGGCAAACACTCCAGAATCCTTTCTTTCACTTCCACTGGCAGTTCACTTATTACGTCCCTTCCTGCATCCTCTTTGGATTTTCTCCGACAACTCGCCATTAAACTGGAAACCGAAGTTAAAATCGATTTGCATTCCAATAGCATTCCAATTTAGCCCACAAGGTTTTGGAAACAACAGAAATTTGGTTTAATTTGGGAAGAAATAAGAGATTAGGGGGAAAAGTGTTAGAAACCCTTGCCTTCTCTACTGCCCGGATGTTTTGCGTTTGGAACGAACAGAATACTGCGAGGCTTTTCTTTGGGCCCTTGGCGGCGACAGTGGGCTATTAGTAATACATCACTGTGCTAAATGTTCAAGCTAAAAATACAAGCTTCATTTGAAAAGGAAATTAGGAAGCTAAGAGTTGGGAAGAAAACAGAGATTGGGAAAAAGTGACAGAAACCCTCGCCTGTGATGTTTGGTCTGGGTTAGGAAAGCCGGAGGGAAACGGATCAGAGTAGCATACGCCAGACGGAGAAGACTAAGGCCGGCTGCCGGTGGAGCTGAGTGGAGAGTGGAGAGACGGCTGAGTCGCAGGGCTGAAGAGTGTTGAACTAGAGTCTAGAGATTTCATTTTAGTTGTAGAGATTTTTGCTTATATATTTACATACTAAGTAATTGTCCCTTTTTTGCTTATATATTTACATACTAGTAATTGTCCCTTGCGATGCACGAATTATTATTAATTTAACAAATGAGTTAATACCCAAAATCGTCCTCGACTATAGTGGTTTTTCTCAATTTCGTCCTAAACGACTTTGGTGACCTAATATCGTCCCAGACTTTTGTGTTTCGCTTAATTTAGTCCCAGACTTTTGTGTTTTTGCTCAATTTAGTCCCTCATTTGTTATTTTGTCCATTTGGTATTAAATAAATAGACAATTCAATAATTTTAATATTGGCATCTCTTTACTCATAGACATGTGAACTGCGAAATCCCTTTTTTTTTTACGAATTACTCCCAGAATTACTCCTAAAACTGCGAATATAAAATTTGATTTGCAGGTCCGGGAGTAATTCTGGGTGTAATTCGTACAAGAAAGAGGAATTTCGCACTTCACAAGTTGAAAGTAAAGAGAGATCAATATTGACATTACTGAATTGTCCCTTATTTAACACCAATTTGACGGAATAACAAATGGAGGACTAAATTGAGCGAAACACAAAAGTCTGGGACGATATTAGGTCACCAAAGTCATTTAGGATGAAATTGAGAAAAACCACTATAGTCGAGGACGATTTTGGGTATTAACTCTTTAACAAATTTATCAATTAAAGTTTTTACATCCTTTGAATTAGCAAAAAAAGTAATTGTTTAAAAAAAACATACTTGAATTCTTAAGCTCAGAATTAGTTTGATTAAAATGTAAGTATAACTATACAATGTAATATTTAATATTTTTAAAAGTTTTATTATGCTATTATTATGTTGATTTTAATGTTTATTGTTACTTGTATTATTATTTGAATTTGAATTTGAAATAACTACTTTAATTATATAACTAACGTATTTAAATAAAACTTGTAAATGAAATAACATGCAATATTTGTCGAAAATCTCCACCAAAAACTTATTCATTTGAAAAAGTTATTTATGTAAGAACTATATTTATTTTATATCTAATTTCTTCTCTTTATATATGTGGAGTCAAATTAATTATAATTGAGGTTTAAATAAATATATATACATAAATTATATTAAATATAAAACTTTACCAATAAATTTGAACACAATAAACTTTTTTTCATACTTCATTATGCTTTAATATATATATAGAGATAGAGATAGAGATAGAGCTATAATAATAAAATATAATTAAAGTAGTTATTTCAAATTCAAATTCAAATAATAATACAAGTAATAATAAACTTTAAAATCAACATAATAATAACATAATTAAGCTTTTAAAAATATTAAATATTACATTATATAATTATACTTACATTTTTAATAAAACTAATTCTGAGTTGAAGAACTCAAGTACGTTTTTCTGTTTCCACAACCATTAATATGCTAATTTAGAGGATGTCAAAATTTTAATTGGTAAATTTGTTAAATTAATAATAGTACGTGCATCGCACGGGACAATTACTAGTCTGTATATACACACTAATACGGCGCCGTTTGTTTTGAGCAGGAAGTTTTGGCTCTATTATGTATCCCAATGCGTGTGTCTTTTTTATATAGTAGTAAGATACTAGTAAGTGTCCCGTGCGATGCACGGGCTATTATTAATTTAACAAATGAACAAATTACACTTTTGGTCCTATGACTATATGAGACGTGTTAATTTCGCTCCATAACTTTTAAAACTAACAATTTAGTCATTTAACTATACTTTTTTAACAGATTTGGTCCTTCCGGCCAAATCACCGGTGGAAATTGGCTGGAAAACTTAAACCTTTTTAAATTTTTTATTCATGAGGGCAAACTAGTCTTTTTATGTAAGCTGTTTCTTCTTCTTCGCGTTCATGAGCTACGACTAACAGTTGCCTCTGCTTCCAAGAAAGAATAGCTCCAAGAATCGAAGCCCCAAGTTCAGAAGCAAGGTATGATTTTTATCCTCAGCTTTTTCTTCATGTCTACTACGCATTTCTTAATTCATCTTCTCTAGATCGCACGGTATAAAGCTCTATAAGAGATCTAAACTCCCAGCAATATGCTTCTCCCTATTCTAGCAACAACCATCCTCCCAATTCCAGCTAAGACCAAAACATAATTGTAGTATTGGTTGTGGTCCTGCGATTTATAGTGTTAAAGTAGGTGTAGATGTTCATGTAAATAGTGATTCTGAATTTTAAATTTATATCTAATCAATTAATGTTAGAAACATAACATAATTATTGCAATGTTAATTCTCAATTATGGATCAACAATTATTATTCAAATTAATTTTGTGAATTACTCTCCTATCCACTAAAATCTTTTTGCTTTTTATTCACTTTGATTTTCTTTTCATCTTTATTTAATTATTTAGATGATTATGATTAGGGAAAAATATTCCCTAATCATTTTGCTTTAATATATCTAATCTTTTTTTTTGAAAGTTAATATATCTAATCTAAAAACATAATAAGTGTCAATACAAGTTGTCCTTGATTTTTGTCCTTTTTTTATATGCTAATAAATGTATACATTGTGCTTTAATTGTTGTACATTCATTTGCATTGGACAAAATCACCCTTATACCGTTATAACACCGTTAATTTTTAATGTATCTACCAATCTTACCATACACCTACATCTATCATATCTTTTTCCTATTTTTAATTATAATTTTATTAAAATTATCATATAACAATTAATTTAATTATAAATTATATTTTAATTAAATATTTATATGAATGTTAAATTTTATATATATATATATATATATATATATATATATGTATGTATATATATATATATATAATATGTATGTATATTATTTGTGTATCCATATCAATATATCATATATGTGAGTGTTAGCTTAGTATTATTTGTAAATTATTATTATATAAAAGTATAATTTATTTTTTTGTTTTGATCACTATATTATTCAAATATATGATAATTCAAAAGTATCATCAGTTTAAGAAATTGCAAAACATAATTTTAACTAATTTTTTAAATTTTGTTACTTACAAATATTTTAATATTGGACATAAGTTTTCGCGCATCGCGCGTACAAAATGCTAGTAAACAAAATAAGTGTCAATGAAAGTTATACTCTTCATTTATGTCCGTTTTTTCGATTAAGTATTTTTTATACATTATGCTATAAAAGTTGTACTTTATAATATTTTGAACAAGATTGATAAATACTAAGGTGATCTAGATAAAATGAATTTTTTTTATTTTCTATGCAAATATCTTCGACCTAGGGACAAAATAGAATATATATCATACTCCTTTACACTACTGATGTAAATGGTAAACACTGTTTTAGAAGGTTATGGTTTATCTTTAAAAAGTTGTATGATGATTATGTGGCTAGTTTTAGTGTCCAGTCTGATCCAGTTGCACAATTTAGGCAATTTGTTCCCTTTATTTCAATGTTTGATTCAATTTCAATTGGTAGAGCTCAATATTTTGTTAAAAGCGCAGTTAAAGAAGCAAAGATTGGAGAATGGGGAATTGGGCAAGAAAATAACTGAGCTTGAAATATATTTGTCTGAGGCAATGGCAAGGGACATTTTTGTTGTTCTCATGTTATCTCTAGTGTTACATCTGAATCAACATTCATCAGTACTAGTAGGAGGTACTAGGTGCTTTAATTTTTGGAGTTCTTACTCTAAAAATTATTGAGGGGCTTCTGTGTGCACAAGATTGGATGAGGTTGACAAATCAATCAATTTTAAACTGAAAATAATATTGATGATTAATTGAATGTAAAAGATTAAAAAGCGGTAAACAATTAAGTGTAAATTTGTATATTCCATTTTGCATGTTTGTAATTGTAGTTGTAAGTTGAAACTAAATTAGTAAATTGTCAATTTTTGCTATGTATGCAGTATGCTTGCAGTAGTCATCAGTAGCTTGGAATTTATTTCAAAACTAGCATTTTGTATGTGTGATGTGCGAAAACCTATGCCCAATATTAAAGTATTGTAAAGTAACAAAATTTAAAAAATTAGTTAAAATTATGTTTTGTAATTCTTTAAAGTGGTGATACTTTTGAATTATCATATATTTGAATAATATAGTGATCAAAACAAAAACAAAAATTATATTTTTATATAATAATAATTTACAAATAATACTAAACTAACACCCACATATATGATATATTGATATGCGCGCGCACACACACACTCATAATTTAACATTCATATAAATATTTAATTAAAATATAATTTATAATTAAGTTAATTGTTATATGATAATTTTAATAAAATGATAATTAAAATAGAAAAAATATATAATAGATGTAGGTGTATGGTAAGATTGGTGGATATATTAAATACTAACAGTGTTACAACGGTGTAAGGGTGATTTTGTCAAATACAAATGAAATGTACAACAATTAAAGCAAAATGTATATATTTATCAGCATATAAAAAGGGGACAAAAATCAAGGACATAACTTGTATTGACACATATTATGTTTTTAGATTTGTAATTTCAATTTTTTTCTCAAAATTTGAGATATTGGCATCTATTTTCGAATATCCGATGGGTTTGTTTATATAATTATCTGACAGATTACAAAAATAATTTCAGAGATCAGGTTTATATAATTATTCGACAGATTTACATATTGGAGAAGACAAATACACCCTCAGATGAAATAAAGAAGTGAGGGTGTTTGTGTAATTAGGCTAGCCAAGAGTCTGTTACAACTGATTGTAACTGCCTTTACCGCTCAATTAGCTTTGTACTTAAGCTTTGCATTCTTCTCCTTTTCGAGCTAATGA